ACGAGCAACCGAACACATAAAAAATTATAGTCAGGAGGTTTATTAAAAAGTTTTTCATAGGGTGAAAGCCCCTATGATTTTAAAATATGATTTTTCAAAATCATTTATTAAAGTCTGGCATTTTATATCGTAAGTCTTGTCCTGATACCCCTGCTCAAAATGGTGTTGCAGAGCGAAAGCATAAACATCTTCTTGAATTAGCTAGGACTATGTTGATTGACTCCTCTATTCCTGGACAATTCTGGGTTGATGCTTAATATACCGCCACCTATTTTTAGCAGGGGTATCAGCACAAGACTTACGAAATAAAATGCCAGACTTTAAAAAATGATTTTGAAAAATCGTGTTATTAAATTCACCACCTCCATCACTCTGAAAAATTTTAATTCTCAAGTTAAAAAGATTTTCAACAAGCTTTTGAAAATTAGTAAAATGGGTAAAAACTTCATATTTCCTACGCATAGGATATATCCAAGTAAACCGAGAAAGATCGTCAATAAAAGAAACATAATATTTATAACCAAGAATGGACACAATAGGCGACTGCCAAACATCAGAATGAATAATATATAAAGGAGTAGTAGTGTCATGAGTCACATCAACAAAAGGGAGTCTGTGGGATTTACCCAACTTACACGAAACACAATCATGATGAAATAAAGATGAACTAGTCATTAATTTATTTTGCCTAAGACTACAAAGAACTCTATCTCCACAATGCCCCAGATGCTTGTGCCAATTGGACCAGGAACAACACGGGCTTGAAGAGCACTAAAGGGATAAACATGGTCTTTATTAGGTGCCTGAAGAAGAAGCTCCCCCGTGTGATTGTCCTTTGCAGAAAAAGAATTTTTATCAAAAATCACTTGACAGACATTATCCGCACACAATTTCTGAACAGAGAGTAAATTGTATTTAATGTGTGGGACATGATAAACCGAGTTAAGATAAAGCGGGCGACCATTAGTGACTAGCTTTAAGTTACCAACATGATATATGGGTAATTTTGTACCATTAGCAACACATACTTGATTCGGTTCAGTGTAAGGAGTTTTATAAGAAAAAATACCTTCATGAGGAGTCATGTGAGCGGAAGCCCCAGAATCAGGATACCAGACCGAATCATGTGTTTCACCCGTGAGAAGGGTAGCAAGAGCAGGGGCACTAGAACCAGTGAAACGGGAACATTGAAGAGCAGAATGACCTGGAGAAAAACACAATTGACAGACAACCGGAAGAGGAGGAGATTGATAGGAATTGTCCACAGATGGAAAACCTGCACTAAAACCGTGAGTAGCAGTAGAAGGAAAATAATCAGAATAATTACTACCAGACATGATATTATACAATACCGAACCTAGGCCACCCGGATATATTGCAGGACCACGTGGAGGCTGCTGTCCTTGCGGGTATGGAGGCTGTTGCGCGTCAGGTGGTGGAGCATAATACTGTGGATAACCACGGCCACCACGACCGTGGTTTCCGCGTCCTCGACCGCCTCGATTTTTGCGTCCACCACGCGCTCCCCTTCCGCAACCCGAGCCGACTGCACCCCCTCGACCCGAGGCTGTTGGGGCAGTGGGGTTATCGGCTGCAAATGCCTGGTGCACCGGTGTCGAGTCCTGATTCTCCAAAAGATTGTTCCGTTGCTCTTGTGCTTGAAGAAGAGGTCTCAAATTCTCCAGTGTAGCATTCCCCGGGATGTAAGATATGGCCGTGATAAGAGACTGATACCCACGTCCCTAACCAAGAATAGCAAATTCAATTAAATCTTTATTGGTAACTGGAGAATTGATAGCTGCTAGAGAATCAGCCATGAGTTTAATTTCTAACAAATATTGATCCATAGGCTGATTGTCCTTCTTTTTCACATGAGATAATAAACGTTTAAGTTCTATGGATCGTGAAAAGCAGGCAGACATAAATCGTTGTTGTAGACGGTCCCAAATTAATTGAGAATGTTTAAGATCATAAACTTCCATTAAAACATCTCTAGCAAGAGTAGCAAAAAACCAAGAACGCACCGTTTGATCAATTTTCAGCCAGTGGGAATAATCTGGCAGATTAGATGACGGAACCTGAATGGACCCATCTACTATCCCTAAGAGGCTGTGGGATACTAGAAAGGACTCAAACTGTGTCCGCCATGACAAATAGTCCTCAACCGCAGATAATCGAGTAGTAACAATATTATTGACATTCGGTGTAGAGAAAACAAGTTGAGATGCTAGAGATGATAACAGAGTTGGAGCCTGCGAAAAACCTGGTAAATATGAATGATTGAGAGGCTGCATGGGAGTCACACCTTGACTGACCGAAAACGTGGGGCCAGAAAATTCCATGTGCGGCCCGCCTACGTCCGGAAGGAACGAGGAACTCGGTTGAGATGAAGTAGGCGGTGTAGGAGTCCAGGTGAAGGGTTCCGGTATATTGAACAACCTGTATGATTCCATGGTAGGAATGTGAGGTATCCTAGGCGAGAAGGAGACTGCAGGTGTCGTCCGTGGGACTGCGACGTTAATTGGAGATGGCGTCAGCGAAGGAGAAGAAGGCGGACGATTCGTGCTAGAGTCGGAGGCATCGACAGCTGCTGCCGGAGGCTGCTCCACCTGCGTGTGCGCCGGATTTGTAGCTATGGCGGCGGCGGTGGTGGGTGGGTGACCGGCCATATCGTGTGAGGGTGCTAGAAAACCCTAGCGATTGATACCATATACAAAATAATAGATTTTGGGAAATAATAACTTACCCTCTTGAGTGCCCTAGCATCATATTTATAATAAATTAGAGTTATGGAAATTACAAAGTAATTCCTAAATATTACATAATTAATAAGTATGATGAAGGATATTATATGTATTCCTTTTAGCTCACACTATTGCATACTATCATACTATTTTCCATGAAAAATAGTACTACAAAAACTGATTTGGCAGGTAACAAGCCATTCATTCAATTGAAATCCTAAATAGGGCACACAAATTATGGTACAAATCATAAAAATAAGACAAAAGATTAAAAATATATAAGATGTAAAATATCTTCGCATCATCTTTTATGTATAAGTACTAAAAAAGCACAACGACTATACTTCATACTTCTATTATTTACTTCAAGAAATTTCACTAAAAAACACATCCAAATTATATTTTTGTTAGAAATTAATTAATCTCACATGTAAGTACGACACATACATTAGATAGCCATATACATCGGTTAGTAGCTATTTGTTCAAGCTATTTATCCCGACTTCTTATTCCAGAGTGATCTTATTTATTATTTTTATTCCATGGTTATTCTTGCTCTGACCATAGATGAAATTGATATGGAAACAATTACATGTTGGATCTGAAAGATTCAAAGTTAAAGACTTATCTAAGCTTAGATTTAGCTTCATCATCTACTTCAGATAGTTACCTCCTACATGAGATACATTTTCCCCAGAATTCTTAATAGCATTAAATATTGAGGTTTGTCTAGTCATGAGCAAAAACTGATAGTGAGGGTTCTTGTGATGCTCATGAAGAATTTAAATCACTCATATGGATTGTGGAACAACATACAACTTCTTGTGATTGAACTTGGAGCTCATATTATTGAGGTTTAGATGATGCACGGAGAAAACGTCGAGGAAAAGTTTCTTATTTTTTGACCTACATTAACACCCTCATATATTTTCAGCGCGAACAATTTTCATTAATGGTTAACTATGCAATAACCATTAATAAGAGACATGGACAACTATTGGAAAAGGATGACATTTTTCATAATCGGCCTATTTTTACTCATGGACAATTATATATGACGGTCTCAAGAGTGACAAGAAGTCTATTTGGATTAAAATTTGTGATATGTAACGAAGACAGACAACCAACAAAGCCTGCAGTGAATGTTATATACAAAGAAGTTAATATTAATTAATTTGTAGTTTCCTTTTACAGTTTTGTGGACATACACAGACTTATTTTATTGTATGATGGTCATATTTAACTCCAAGCATTTTTTTTAATTTCCTATGAAACACGACTTCTTATTTTAATTTATTTATTCACTTAATTGATTCATTGTCAATTTTTGTCTTTTTATTTTTTATGTAATCCACCTCAACTTTTATCTATGTACTTCGTTGCACGGGTGGAGTAACTGGTATAATAAAAAGTTTGATTTCATTACCAACATGTCACCGTGGTATTCGAACTTTAGATCAATTTTACGGATGACCAAGATGAAATATAAATCCCCGTGTTTTTCAATAATTTATTTGACCAATTTTTTGTTGAATTTTAAGCTGAAATGTTGTGCACGTATTCTACACTTCATGAAGAACATGCTCACAAAATTTAATAAAAAATTCCACTCGGAAGCCCCTCAAATGGGCTTGCCGAACGGGACATGTTCAGTCTAGACCGACCAGTCAGTCTGGGCTTGGCCTTCAATTGTGCATTACTTTAACCACAAATGTGCACATTTGAATTGTACATTATTCTAACCTTGAATGTTCACCTCCGTAAATCATAATGTGCACCGTTTTGGAGCATTCTCTTTTCCGACAAGAAATATTCTCACCAGAACCGGACCTTATATAAATTTGCGAAAAAATAAAACTTTATTAATGTGAAGTAAACATTTAAGGATTTGAAGGTAACTAACAAAGGAAACTAAACAATTTTAAATAGTAACTTGCTTCTATCAATGTGACGGTAAACATAAAATTCACCATTCTATATTTGTTTGATGTAATAATGTACTACCTCCGTCTCATTTTATGTGTCTCATTTGACTTTGACACAATTATTAATAAAGTGATTGAAAATGTAAAAGTTGTGGTTGAAATTTGATTATAATAAAGTGAAATATTGTGAACCACATATTTTTTCCAAAAAATGGAAATGTGACACTAATTTTGGGACAACCCGAAAAGGAAAATAAGACATGTTACCGCAAAATCAAATTATATTTAGGTCCTTCTAAAGTTCAGTTTGAGCATGGATGAGGTTGAGGAGTAATTGGTTGGCGCAAAATCATCACATTTATGAGAAGAAAGTACAACCATGATGACATCCATTTAGGAATAAAATTGTTGTTTTACTCTTGAATTAAAGTTACATACTTACATATCCCAAACATTGGCTACAAATGGTAGTAATCTCATACTCGAAATGCCACTCAAATGGTGAGACTAGATTGGTCAGAACTTAGCATGGTCCAAACTATTTACGTCCTTGCACTATCTCACAGAGCTGACCAAGGGTCTCGGAAATTTTTTCAAGGTAATCAATGAGCTTATCAGCTTGGAGCCTCACTAAATCAGTTTGATCAGCAGCAGTATTCGTTAAATCACCTTCAACTATTGCATGGATAAGTTGTGCATTTTCCTGTAGAATTAAAGCCATCATTTCTGTTTCATCTTCACCCCTCAACTCCTCAACCTCATCCATGATTTCATCACTGTTTTCCCGAGGTTGAACCTTATCAACCAATAGGGAAGGTTCATAATTTTTCTCCAAGCTCGGGTCAAATTTCTTATCCACTCTAATGTCTGGTTTAATATGCAAGCTCAGTTGATCCTGCTTTGTGATTCCACTTGAGGTGTATCGCCAAGAAGGGTGTAAAGCTTCCTCAGCCCTAAGTTTCTGACTAGTGCTTCTTCGACGCTGCTTCTTCGAGCCACCTAATACGAAAATGAAACTCATGCTTACAAGGATTACATTAACAGAACAAGTTTGCTGTTAGAAACATTTGAACGCCAATAGGAAGAAAATAAATTGACATTTTAATGGAACTATAACAATCAATAGCAAGGTGTTTCTAGCCCACACTGGTTACTAAGTTACATTTCTTATAGGTCATGGTGCATTATAAGATGATACAGGGTATATTTTACTTCGGTGTTATTCTAGTCATATACTAAGTTTATTAACTCTGTTTGATTATTGATAGTGCATCTCTACTAAACAAAAAACAACATTCAAGCCATAGTCCCATAAGAATTTGGGATCCGCTAACATGGATCGATATATGAAATAGAAGCTAAAAAAGACGCAAAAGATAAAAAGGATAAGATAAAAAAGATAAAGATAAAAAAGATATAGAGAAGATAAAAAGATACTTCCTCCGTTCCATAAAAGTTGCAACATTGGAATTTCTGCACTATTCACACATCTTACTTTGACTACGATTTTCTAATAATATTAATAAATTTGTATTAATGTAAATTTCCAATATATTAACTTTTTTTAATGTTTACTAATACGTAAATAAATATAATTACAGTCAAAGTTGCGCGTTGGCAAACGTGAAAGTCAAACTGTTGCAACTTTTATGGAACGGAGGATAGTATAAAATAAAGAAGATAAGAAAGAGGGAAAAAAAGATAAAATGAAATCAATCATCTAAACGCATATTCTTCATTCACTCTTCGCTCTATCCAAAGTCATAATCTGTTTTCTTAGAAACAAGAACTTCACTATATCAATGAGAGTGTGGATGAGATCACTCTCTTCCTACCTAACCAAAGGCCCCGAGTTTGAGCCCGGAGAATGCAGCTCTATAAAAACCCATGAGAGCGTGTGAGTGTTTAAATATATGACAGTCCTCATTGAAGGCTTAACTGTTAACCAAGCAAATCAAAACAAGATTCGAATTGACCAATACTTCAATAAAACTAGGGCTGGCATTTTGAACCGAAAAACCGAAAACCGAACCGAAAAAAACTAAACCGAGCATGAAATAAACCGAACCGACACAAACGGGGCCCGAAAGTCGGGCCCCAAAAATTTATCGGTTTATAGTCGGTTCTTCAAGGAAAAAAAATCGGTTCAAACCGAACCGATTTGTTTTATTAAGCAATACTTTTGTTAATCATATTTCTGTGGGCGAGTTTCGTTATAAGAATAATAGTTCCATACAAGTCATCAGTTTATCGTATTGCTTGCTGGTAGAGTAATCCACCATTCCGTTGCTAGTTTGCGTCGCCACTCACCACCCGTGTTCGAATCCCAGGAAAAACTTGTTTTTCACTTTTTAAAGTTTTTATTGTTCACTTTTCAACCTTCTTACTAAGAATTCCCACACCGGAGGAAATAGCGAATTCCTCCTGCATCTCCTCCTATATAACCCTCTCCCCTTTGATAACACCAACCTAGGCAGGCTCATCCAAATTATGTGCTAGCCTCACTAGTCCAACATCTTGTCGGTTAATTGGTTTGGGTGTCCAACCGAACCGGAAATTCGATTCCCGATATTTTGGGACCCGATATTAATCGGTCCGGGTCCGGTTTAGGATTATCCAAGAACCGAAATATCGGTTCGGTTTCGGTTTGGGGTAAATCGGTTCGGGTACCGAACCGAACCCAGCCCTAAATAAAACCAACTAACCACAATTAATAAAGCCAACTGAATAAGTAACATTGTTTACCGTACATGCAAGGAGTATGCAAGCCATTCCCGTTGATGACGTGAGAGAAGATTCATGAAAAACCATCTTATGTTTTCTGGGATAGAGACTGATGGTTGATGAATTGTCAGAAAATATACGTGGTAAGTAAATAATACTACCTCCATCCCAGGAAAAAGTCCTTTTTCACCAAATGTATAACTTTTTTTATTTTGATAATGTACAACTCTATAAAACATGAGCAATACTTATATTATAAAAATTTATTTGTTTGTTTCAATACACTTGGTATATAACACTAGTGTGTGACATTTTAATGGCAAGTGTTTTTCCCACATGACATGAAAAATGGAAGGGTTTGATCAAAATGGAGTCTTTTCAACTTTTTAGGGACAAAAGAAGTGGTTGAAAAGAGACTTTTTTGGGACTGAGAATACCATGAAACCATGGTGGTTTGTAGCTTATAAAAGAAGATCCCACACTCCTAATTTCCTATTGCAGTAGTAAGTCAAAGCTTTTAAGCAATAAACACATAGTATGATATAACTTATTTACTCGTCAAAATATTGTCAATTCTAAGAAAAAGTCAACAGTTCAGTGCTGACACATCTGAAGTCCTTCTAAAGTTCAGTTTGAGCATGGAAAGGTTCATTAGGTAGTTAAAGACTGTCCAATGACAAAAGTTCACTTGCCTTGCAGACCGTCACTGACAACATGTATAGTTGCGCTAAACGAGCTTCATATGGTGCAGAGTGCAGTGATGATTTTAAGCCCGTGACATACATCTCCTTTCCCCTCCTTATTTCTATCATGTAATTTTTCGCTACTGTATTCTTTTCCGCTTTATAATATAAGCAGTCTGTAGTCTGTACTCAGTGGACTAGTGCATATAAGCTTGTAGGTGAACTATCTTATACTTCCTCTGTTCTTTTTTAGTTGTAACATTCTCATTTTCACATTTTCCTGCGCACAACTTTGACCACTCGTATATTTCATTCCTTATTATAAAGTATTATAATAGTTTTAGAAATAAGTGAGTACATATTGAAAAATGGTTGGCTCTTTCACAAAATTATCTAGGTATTTTCTTTAGTGTCAGAGAAATGATGATATTTTCCATCAATTTCCTTAAAAAAGGCTCCATAGACATCAGATGGGTCCTTCAATTAAATATCCTTCTTGTAGCACTGATCAAAACATAAAATCAAATACTACTAATATTATTTACATGCTTAGTTTTAAAAGGCGCGAGGAGGCATGGGGCATTTTATTCACTTTAGCTTTTAAAAGGCGTGAGGCGGTATGAGGCATTTTTACTCACTTTAGCCAGGGCGCAAGACGAGAGGCAGGGGCGCGAGCCTCTTCGAATTTGTACCACGAAATGACAAAAATACTACAAGTCATTAATACAAGTCATGAGACAGTATTAACTCATGAGCAGAATGCATATGCAGAAGAATATGGTATTAACTCAAGAGATAATAAAGTAACAGATTAATAAAAGTCCAAGAAGAAAGGAGAAAATAATGTACTTGTTGAGACTCGAGAAAGAGAGAACCCTGATGTGCGAAATCTGGGGGCAAAGTCGCAGACAGAAAGGGATGAGTGGAAGAATGAGTTTGTTAAGGACCCCGTATACGACCTTGTCCAAGGCCTCAAACAGGATCTCATAAGAGAAGAGGACCCAATTGAGACCTAAGGATCAATATTGTTATTTTCAGATTATTGGACGTGATCAAGAATAATTATGTAAGAGTCTTAAGGTGGTTTAAGTATATCAACGAAGGCGTTGGACTCTAAGAACAGATTTATTGATAAACTTAGGAAAGTTTGAAGGTCTTAAGGTCTGAAAATAACTATTATCGATACATCAGCGAGGAACGCGCAATCGCTCTCTGGAATCTGCTCTGCCCAGCTTTTCTGATGCGACTTTTATAAACTAAATTTACATGAATGTATATTTTCACCTTATCATTAATTTGGACAAATAGAATGAAAAGAAAACACAATAAAATAGGGAAACAAGTCAAACAGCAACTCTATTTTTAAGTAATAACAGGAAAAATGTTTAAATTTTATAGTCAAATCAAAAGTGTAGATACTACATACTCTTTCCACTTCATGAAAAGAAGGTGCATAACATTGAAAAGAGAATATCACTGCATCCACAGATCAAAACTCAAATGCATGTTGTTTTGATAAATAATAACCCTCAAACCCATTCCCATACACACTTTTACAGTTCAGACAGTTTAATACAGGTGCAATTGTGCACGCCCAGTGGTGGATCCAGACATCCAGTAAAATAATCTATTGGGGGCGTTAAAATGTGTAATAAAGTATATTAGGTAGCAAAAAAATTGATCAAGCACAGGATAAATGTCCTGAATTTAATAAGGTGTATTACACTATCAGAAGCCTTGATAAAGTAGTTCATGACTGCTCTGTGCGAGTTTTCATCCCTTTGATTAGGATGATAATCATAAATTTTTCTTCTTTTCACGGGATCACAAGAAGTTTCTCCAAATACTACTTTATAATATATGATACAAGGCATTGAAGAAGCACATTAAGAAGTACTATTAATATATGATGATACAATTATATTTGACCTTTTTGGGATTGATGAGTGTAATATTAAAAATGTGTCCTTGAAATCCAGAAAATTGTAATTTTTTGTAAGTAGTATAATCTTTATATACTTGAAATCTTAATTTAATAATCTAAAAGACCAGTAGTTACTGTATTTTCTGACTATATAAATAATATTTTAGTTTAAAAATGTTAACGCTTGATTTAATGGTTAATTTCTATTATAATTAAGCTAATTTAGTTATAGTATAGTTAATTCAATTGTTAGTATACATTTAGAAGTTGGAAGAGAAAATTACAATTCTTAGTGTTAACTGAAAAAGAATATAAGTTTTAGTATATATAAATGTCACTTATTATTATACTACCTTCGTTCTTAAATAAATGCAACATGTTGAATTTTACACTATTCACATGTTGTACTTTGATTAAGTTTTATTTATTAATGTATTAATATATTTTTATAAAAAAAATATTGTTAAATTTGTCTCATTGTAACTTTTCAAAATCTATTTTTTTAATTATTTTCTAATACAGAATTATATACTTCCTCCGTCTCTTTTTAGTTGCAACGATCAACATTTCATGTTTGACAACGCACAACTTTGACTGTCATTATATTTAATTCTGTATTAGTAAAAATAAAATAAAAATCAGATTATAAAACTTAGTAATGAGACGAATTTAACAATATTTTTCAAAAAAAAATTCACTTACATTAATAAATAAAACGTAGTCAAAGTAAAGTACATGAATAGTGTATATATTCCAATGTTGCAATTAATGCGATACGGAGGATAGTATATATTAATGGTCAAAGTTGTGTCTCGGCGAATGTGAAATATTGACCGTTGCATTTATTTAAGAACGGAGGAAGTATATCTAATTTTAAATTTAAGATTTTTAATTTAATCTACCCCACTAAATTCATTAGAAAATTAGTTTTATCCCTTTTAACTCTTCCGCTACAAGGATACACAACGGGCAAATATGATATCCTTCTCTTTGTTTAAATTGGGTCACTCAATTATTTATAGGGGCAGATACTTTTTTTAATTGGGGGCAAATTTATAATCTTGTTAATTTTTCTTATGGACTCTAAGGAAAAATTAAACTTTTATTGGGCGCAGCTGCGCCCCTTACCCACTATGTGTATCCACCCCTGTCTCGAAACCTCTTTGGCTCTTTGTAGCTTTTGCATTGTTATTTAGTTTGGTGACTTTTAAAACTTAGATTAGATAGATGCCGAAATGATAAATGCATCTAACATTCTAACCCACTCGGTGTGAAGTAATGCTATTATATATATTGAGTTTATTCGAGTACAAATTCCAGGGTTGAACATCGATAACTCTGGCCCATGTAGAAACTACTCACTCAACACCTAAAAGGGTATCTACATTTCCATTCTGGTATGTCCCAAAATGTAATTGACTTTCCTAAATCAATCACTATAGATATGTATTTTTCCTCGCTACCTTTAAAGTTTGTCTGTGTTATTGTGTTAACAAGTACGTAGTACAAATTTATACGAAGCGGAAACAGTCTGATGGGCAAAAGTGTGAAACACATGATATTACTTTCCATGCCATATGTTAATCATCCACTACATCGTACACCGGTATGTAAACGTTTACCATGGGAGAATAACCCATCTGAACTCTACTCCAAAGAAGGGCTTATTTATTAACCCTCTTACTGTCTCAACACAAGCATTATAGTGGATATTGGGAGAATCTATTAAGCAGCTTTCTCTTTTCCCTACTAATAATTTGTCATTGTTTACTTCAAGAACTTGCACCACACATAATCTCAAATACAACCCAAGGCAGGACAAGTAGGTAAATTTGTGGGTACTTATGATACTAGTGCTCTATACTAATGAAAAGAAGGAATATACACGATTCATTGGTTTTTCATTCAAGTAATTATTATTTGATAATACCTAAAAGAAGAATGTAATATAGGAGCATAGAAGTCCCAGCTAAGTCAATTTTATTCCATATAAAACTCTGGAAGTAATAAATGCTAATATGCAATGACAGCAAAAACTGTAAAATGATCAAAGACAGTGGTTCCTATATATAGCTCCAAGCTACTGCTAGACAAATCTAAGAAGAACTAAAGAAGGAAATCAATATAGACTAAAAATAGTGCTCAAATATCTCAGATATCTTTCTTCACTGAAAACCAGTAGAGAAGAAATGTCCAAAATTAGAATGTAAGGATCATACTAGTGCAGCACCGTATTTAAAAAGAATATCAGACCATAATCCTTACTAATCGAAGTGTTTCTGATAATGTGTTTGGTCATCGATAGAGCAACACTGATCAATTATCAAGGAAACCAATTGAATATCAAAATGATGTACTACTAGGAATATCTAAAATATATATAAAAAATGCACCAGTTGAGGCATACCATTTCCCAAGAAGACAGAATCATCAGCCTGAGCTTCAGGATCACTGTCGTGGTCCGTATCAACCCCGCTTGCGTCCTTTCCGTGCATTTTCACATACGAATCAATGGCGACGAACAACTCCAAAGTGAAATACCCCGGAACCCCCAAATCCTCCATCCGGTCTTCATCAAACAATGCCATCCCGTGTCGAAACTCCAATTGCTTAACCCTCCGGTAATCTTCCATCAAGGATTCCCACTTTCTCTTACATTGGTCCAGGCTCCGGCAGACGTCGAGGGCGTTGCAGTGCGCGACAGTGAGCTGCCACTTCTGGAAGGACGGCATGGTGCTGCCGCACTCCGCCTCCACGGCTTTGATCTCGTTCACCAGTGTCAGGGATTCTTGCGCCGTCCAGTTCGGCGCTGCCTGTGACCGGGTGATACGAGACCCACTTTCCATTTTCCGATTAACCCTCCGGTAATCTTCTATTCTATTCTATTCTTCTCTTTTCCTTATTTGGCGCAATTATATAGATCAAAACAAGGCAAAACAGTGTTTCCAATCCTACGTGTAGCTCAAACCAATTTTTTCTCCTATGCTATACTAAAACCACGTGGCTCCCTCTGTGTTAACCTCTTTTTCCCTTCAAAAAAACATGACCGAAGGAAGATCGCTCGTTTCTATCTTCTCCACCCTCTCCCCCTTTTTAGTCCAAAGTTTTCTCACATTCCCCCCAAGCGGCAGCTTCCTATAGTTAATCTGCTAATTTCACCAGATTTAAGATTCTTAGCGAGAGTACCCCGCACAGCTCTTCACCAAATTTTGGAGATTCCAAATAACAAGATCGATGCTAGGGTTCATACTCCCTTGCACGAGTACAAGAGGTATTTTGTAATCCTTTGTTTTCTACATTTCTCGATTCTTCTGTAATTCAATCATGCTTATTTCTTTCTAAAACCTTTTTTTGTCTCGGTGTAGTTTTCATCCACGTTAACCCAGCTTTGCAAACACAAATCCTTCCCTGCCGAAGTAGCATAGGTACCCTCTCATTCTTCCTTTCTGTGTTTCTCGATTCTCTGTGGATGTTGCTTTATTTTTGTTCTGTAATTTTGTTTGGGATCAGTACTTTTTTTGTTAATAGCATTAAACAAAGTTTAGACTTTTACTTTTCTACATATAAAGTGTTTGATGAAATGCTTTAATGAGTTTTTACTTTTACAGTCTCAGTTTTAGTATTATTATTATTATTATTATTATTATTATTATTATTATTATTATTATTATTAGTTGTAACCTGTGAGAGTCCGAGTAAGCTATGTATCTATCTCCCTCTGTTTTCATTGGTTTATAACTATATTAATCTTCATGTTATGCTCAACAAGTTCTATAGTACTTATAATTTACGATCATTATTTTTATTGTACTGTGAAAGCTAAATGTCACAGGACGACATAGAAACTTCTCCGTGGAAAACTACTTCACTCTTTTTCAACAAATGGTATGCTAGGAATAGTAGCAGGTAATGCATATACAAAACTATATTAGTGTGACGTCTTTATTGGTGGGGTCTAGAGCTAAAGGATAGTACACATAGGTCTGAATTATCATTTGCGAGTATGTGTTTGTGCATTTATAGAAGTCCCTCAAAGACTCTCCAGGCTTCAGCACTTAGAGTGGCATAGGTAAACTTAATTTTTCATTCCTTCAAATGCATTTTTTCCCTGTTTTAGGTAGTTTGTTTTATTTAGGTGGTTGAAAAAAAAAAGTAGGACTTAACAAATTTAGGGAGGAGGCAATTTCCCGCTCAAGCATGTTGCTATTTCAATTCTACGATCACACTAAATTAGATCTACAGCTTTTCCCATTTCTTGAATGGCTTCTCCCCTCATACAAACCAAAACTCCTCTCTCTTATCTCTCCCTCTCACAGAAACACAAATGATTGATGAAGAGACAATTGCTGGAATTGCATATGAATCCGAAGAAGATGACGCCATGGTTTCAATTGCTCCTTAGGTTCTCATCTCTCCCCCTCACAAATAGGAGAGGTATTGTTCATATTATTATTAATTTTTTTATTGATTTTATTAATTACTTTTATCAATTCTATATTCTCAATTTCATTATCCTATGACTACACCGATAGTTGCTCTTTTCATTTTCATATTAACAAGAATGCTTCCAGAAATAAAGTCTTTCAAAAGCTTCCAGAAAACATGATAAATAGCCGGGTAGAGCTAAATTGATAGCCACAATGCTGTTAACAGGAATAGATCTACTTGGCTTGATTTTTCAGGAGGTTGTAAACAAATTAGTTAATCATTTTTGTATCTTAAGGGGAAACAATATTTTGGTTCAAAAGATTTATACTCATATCTATATTTTTCAGGGCGGCTTATTGCAGTCCAAGAATTCTATTATACCTGCTATGGAAGTTGACCTCCCAGTATGCTTATTCAAGCCAGGGCCTGACTGCCACCAGGTTTTTTATAAAACCTGATCATCAATTGTTTTTTACTTCAATGTTGTTTTGTTCTATTGCTGGTAAACTATGTCTGACAGATGTAATAAATAAATTAAAATTATCGCAATGTGTTGGGGCCCGAGGCTCTTCCTTTAACTATTCTGGAGATACAATTGATGAAGATATTGAAGTGTTTGGTTGGGTGTAGTGTTTTCCCTTCATTAACAGCAATTTTATGTGCTCATTTGGTCGGGTGGTTCCCCTTTGTATCCTTGATAGTGCATTTTCTAACAATGTAAACACATTGACTAAGGAAATTGAATTGTGCTTAACACATGGTTTGTTATGATTTGACCGGTAAGATAACTAAGTAAATAAGTGAGAGGTGCATGTGCATTGCAGTTTATACTTTATAGAGTAATGACATGAGGTGCACTAGGTTGTAGCCTGCATCTGTCAGAATTAAAACATGTGTCTCATCTATTTTATTTAGTGAATTAATCTTTGGAAATAGATTAAGATTAATATACTTTTAGTCGAGGTTATTCTACGAAAAGTAAAGACTAACAATTTTAGAGAATTGGCCTTGCACATTGGCCATAAAAAATGTCAGTCTCATAGAAGAAGGTGGTCTAGAAATTTTCATACGACAAAATTGAGTCATTACTATAACTGTAAGGGGATTGGCCTAATGATGTGCTTAATTTTTGGTATAGTGGAGATAAATCCAAGAAGTAGTTTACTCAAAAAGTAGATTACAGAAACACAAATGATTGATGAAGAGGCAATGGCTGGAATTGCATATGAATCCGGAGAAATAGGAGAAGAAGACGACGTCATGGTTTCAATTGCTCCTTAGGTTCTCATCTCTCCCCCCTCACAAAACTACTTGATTAATGAAGAGGGAGCAAGACTGACCGAAATTGAAGAGGAATCGTGAGAAATAGCAGAGGTATTGTTCATATTATTAATTATTTTTATGGATTTTATTAATTACTTTTATCAATTCTATATTCTCAATTTCATTATCCTATGACTACACCAATAGTTGCTCTTTTCATTTTCATATTAACAAGAATGCTTCCAGAAATAAAAGTCTTTCAAAAACTTCCAGAAAACATATGATAAGTTTGTATTACAACACGCATTTGATGCGTGTTGGGATCAGCTTTTGATGTTTTTCCTAACTTTTAAGTGTCACAAGTCTCAATTTTAGCTCAAATTATGTTTACCGGGCGTTGGTTCGAATTTTGTGTTATTTGGAGTCAAAATCAGGAATTAGATTCTGGCACTGACACTTGAGAAGCGATCAGGATGAGTTTATGATGCATTCGGTAGAGAATTGAGAGATTTGGAGGTCACTGGGAGGTTCACGGTGAAGTTTTGACGACAAGAGAGCTCTAGGAGTAGCTACGAGATCAAATGAAGAGGAATAGAGCTTGAAAACGGCATTCAGGATGACCTTCTGTCAATCATTCAAGCATATGTTTTTGTAGAAACATCCAAAGGACACGATACAAGTTCCATGTGAAAACCAACTTCAAGTGCTACAAGTCATATGAAGACACCATTGAGAGCATCTGAGAGGAGAATGGTGAAAACAGACGAAAAAGTCAGATAATCGCTGTTACGATTTCAGAATATGAGCTTCCACCTTTTTATTCATATCCTTTGATGGGATGATCCAAATCCAGTTTTGAAAGTTGTGGTGGATAGAGGACTTCATTATCTACAACTTTCATGAAGGAAGAATTGTCAAATTCGGAGATGAAATAACGCTGGAGCTACTGCCAGTCACACACACTTATTCGTTCGCTAAGAATTGTCAAATTCGGAGATGAAACAACGCTGGAGCTACTGAAAGAACGGTCGTGCCTGGCGTCATGCCTAACCCCGATCTCGTATTCCAGCTCGAATTGTACCCCTTTTTCCTATTTAAACGGCCTGTAAACCCCTATTTGGAGAGGGAACTTAGAGAGAGGCCTAAGGACGAATTTTAGAGAGCTTTTAAGCTTTGTTCTTCAATTCCTTGGGATTATTTGTAAGTTACTAATTTTTAATTAATGACAATTAATTCTATTCTCCCCAATTCTATTGATTCTTCAATTATGAGTTGTGAGTAGTTTTAATTAGGGATTTGGGGTTGATGAATGGGTTAATCATGAAGTATGACTAAATTCATGATGGATTAATTGCACTAATGTTATTTAATTTGTGTTTGAATAATTTAATTGATATCTTTTTGTAATCTAGAATGATCACTAGAATTACAATTGCTTGTAGAATAAATTAAGAGAGATCTAGTTTATTCTAGGACACCTTCACACACACTTATTCGTTCGCTAAGAGATTAGTAATGATTAAGGGGCCGTACGCTCGATCGTTTTGGCAATAATTTTAGAATCTTGTCGCGTGAGAGATTAGCCTGGTCTCCAAAATTATTGTACTCTACGCCGCGAGAGCGGTTAGAACTTAGTATTGACTAGCATGCTCCATTAAATTAATTTCATGTAATTAAGCCTGATTAGCCAGAAATCTGATTACCCCAGAATCAATCTATGTTCCTTTCGTCATTAATTAGAAAGAATCCATTAGTTTAATTTCTTTATTCGCAATTTAATTTTCCATCAAATCATATATCGCACAATTTATTTATTTATTTTTCTTAGTTAGTTTTTATCGCTGAATTTAATTAATACTTAAGTCCCTTTTACCGTC